AATTGAGACTATATTATATTGGTTGGGAGGAAGGGAAAACTAAAAAGGACAGAATTCTAAGCCTAGAAACAGTATCAATCATAAATAGAAACTTCGTATATGATAAATGGCATTGTTTCTCAATAATTCAATAAATGATATTAAATAATTGTCCAAAGTATGACAAAATACAATTATGGGGGCCGGGAATTTAGCTCAGTGGTTCTGCTGCCTACCTCCCAAGCTCAAGGTCCCAAGTTGGATCCCCAGTACAAAAAAAAAACACCCAAAATAAATTAATTAAAACTAAAATACAATTATGTTCATATGTTACATGAAAATCACAATCAGATTGAAAATGTGAAGCAAAATGTAAGACAGGAAATCATTACACTGCTTTGTGACACAAGCAGTAAAGAATATATAAGCTTTTGACTTGTTTAAGAAATGGATAAATAAACTACATATGGAAGGAGATATTGGCAAACACTGATGAGCAGCAATCCAGCTTCTCGTTGACCCCCCTGTGTCTTTTCGGGGCCACCATGGGAAATTACAAAGGCTTTACTTGGCAGCTGTACTAGGAAAGCTGCTCTTCCTATGCTGGGCTTGGCCCAAGGCCGGTGCCTTGCATTCTCAGAAGGGAGCTATAGTCAGGGCCTCAGGCCCATCTGGCAGATCAGGCTTTGTGCATATTTGCATTGAAGCACTTTCTTTCCCAGGTTACTTTCTCTGAGACCTTGGGGTAGAGGCGTTCTGGGACCTGTGAGGAGATCTCCTAAGGGAAGGAAAAAGGACAGGGAAAGCCTGAGGACACACTTTCTCCGCTGACTCAACACCACTTACTTTTCCATTTTTACCTCTTCTTCCTCCCTGCTCCCTTCTCTTCTCCCTTGAGTTCAGAAAGCTTCTGGAGACATTGGCTTGGACGTTCCTCAACAGTGACAACTTCTGTGTGTGTGATGACCCATTTGACTCTTCATGTGTGCAGGGGCAGAGAGTGCTTTCTCTGCCTTTGGTCTCTTGCATACACTAAAGGCAGTAAGTAATGAAAGGCTTGACTCTTCTTTTTGGCTTATTGCTTTAACGAGCTGCTCTGACATTGGCAGCTCAGCCATCTGTCTCTCCTAGCTCACTCAAGCTAGTTACAATAGCTAGTAATTGATTGTAATTGATAAATGTTTAATAACCCCACTATAAAATATTTTTCAAGTTAATTTAAAAAATTAGGAAATTGGAAAAGAACACACAAGGTTCACAGAAAGGGAAAGAGTGGTCTGTAAACACACACAAATTTCTTAAAGGTTTCTTAGAGCTATGTTCTAGCTCAGGCAGTGGGCAGAAAACACCAGGGGCTGATTTCTCCTCAGCCTTTTGTTCTCTTCAGATTTTCAGCAGATTGGATGATGCCACCATATTTGGCAGGACATACTCTCTAAAAACAATACAATAAAATAATGTAATAATAAAAACTCAAACAAAAAAGCAACTACTTAAAACATTAAACTCTGAGATTTCTTAAGATTTTTATTTAAGAGGTCAAAAACCTGCGCTGGAAAGCTAAAGCTGAGATTTCCTTACAAAGATACATTTTAGAGCCCCAAATAAATATTAAACATAATAAATTCCATCATACAGTAATCCTCTTAGTTTAAGTGTCTGTAATTGAAAAACACTAGACAGTCTTAATTGTATTACAAAATTTATTCCTATAATTAATTCAACCAAAGTCAAAAATTTATAATTTCTTTTTATTTATAAAACTAAAAATTCAGTACCCATTCCTGTTAAAGGACTATTCACAATGTAAGAGACAGGTATTTTCTTCACATGATAATATTTATTTGGTGTACCCACTTTCGGTATTTGCAAAGTACCTGGTTGTAGACTTGCTTTCTTACCAAGAATGAGAAAAGCTAGACAACAATATAAATACATCCAATAACTACATAGGAGTTAGGATGTTAGAGGGTGAGGAAGCATATCAAGCCAAGCTTGACATTCTGAGACATTTTCCTTCCTGGGCACTTGTCAATTTATAAATGGCACAGCCTTGTATAAAACAAGAGCTGCAGGGACAATAAACTAAACAGCCCCTCAGCCTTATTTGCCCACAGAGACAAAACTTAAAGTCTTAGATTATGAAGGCATTCAAGGGTTAAGAATCAAGGATTACCAAAGAAAGGGCAGTTTCCTGAAGGCATTTGCTTATCCATAGTCAGAGAGAAGCTAGAAGATTAAAAGGTGAAGCTGAAATAGTCTTATAATCTTCACATAGGGTTCAGGCAGCAAAAACTGGAATCCTACCTCTAAAGGAAAAGGGCCTATGTGAAAAATGTATGAATTCCCCTTTTGTTCTCAGAGGGATTCAAACCAGGGGTGAAAAGCAATGAGAAACAGGTCAGCCCTAAGGAGGAATGGAAATCAGCTTCTAACCAGTTGGATCCCAAATTGGTTAAAAGTGATGTATTCTCCTTTAGCTAGGAGGCAAAAGTAAATCCTGGACATAAACAAAATTAACTAGAGCCGTAAATTATCCTTAAAAAGTTTTCTACACTTTTTTTGGTACTTGATCACACTTATTAGGTCAGTGAGGAGTTGGCTAAATGATTACAAACAAAAGAAAAAATGGACAAATCCATGTTCACAGGGTTTTAGAACTTGGAATTATTGTGCCCAGATTTTAAAATATCTATAATTAGTACATCAAAAATCTTACCAGAAAATTAAATTCTATTTTTCAAAGATGGAAACTCTAGAATGCGAAATACAATATTTAAAAGTATGAACTCAATAGATGGCTTTAACATTGTTTAGAAAAGAGGATGAGTAAAATAGAAGATAAAAACAAATACAGAAAAAAATAATAGGAGAAAAAATTTAAGTAACATAAGGAAGAGACAGAAAGTGCTAAAAAGTTTTCCAAATTAAGTGAAACCCGAGTCCCAGCCTGTGCCACCCTTCTCAAAAGCATCTGATTTCCTGCTTCCAGGGCCAGGGCTTGCTCAGAATATGCGAGAAGCACCCGCTCAGCTGGAAGAATCTCTTAGGGAAGACCCCAGCCCTGTGGAAATGCTGGGACTCAGCGGGCTCTTGAGCGCCCTCAGCACAAAGTTTTCGTGGAAAAGGAGGTCATGGACCTTCTCTACAGCACAGCGGAGGCTGAAATTCCCAACGCCCTGCCACAGAGGAGGCAGCTTGCTAAACCGGTGACGGTCGGGGTTTGGGTCAGAGCCTGATGGAACCAAGCTTGCCAATCTTCAGGCACCCACTTGCAGGGGCTTCAGTCAAAATTAGATCCCCTAAAGGAAGAGAGGGATGAAGCTGGAAATAAAATAGAGCAATGCCAGATCAACTCAGGACAGACATGTTCATGGCCACAGAAGGGAAGTACGGCAAAAAGTTTTTGTTATTAGGAGCCCAAGCAGATTACCATAGAAAAGCACCAGCCGTCTTAGGGCCTTCCTGAACTCCACCGAGATAAGCGGGCAGAGGAGCCAGCCTTCAGGACACCCGTGGAAGAAACCTGCAGGGGAGCAGCAGGAGATGGAGGCCTGAGTCACGCTGTTCCTGGAGACCGCGTGAAGGAGGAGGCTGTCGTCCGAATTCTGGGGCCTCCAAGCAAAAGAGCTGCACCTGAAGCATTTATACCTCTTCCTACCCCCAATCCTAATCACCCATCCCACCCTGGAAACGACTTGGACTCCGAGGCCCAGGAGAGGAAGCGGCCGCCAGTGAGTATGGCGGTGATGGAGGAGGCCCAGTGCAGAAGCAGAGGTTCGCTGTCCAGCTTATGGGCCTTGGGACCCACTGGCGAGGTGGCAGTCTGAGAGAAAGCACGCATCCCCTACCTTCCAGCTGCCACTCTCACCCGCAGGCTCAGAGCCCCCCTGCCCAGGGCTCTGGGGTTGAAAGCAGCTCAGGGGTGGGACCCTCTCCTCCTCTGCAAGCAGCAAGGCTGAGCCCAGGAGACAGCAGCACCCCCCAAACCTGAGGTTTTTCCCTGTCTGCAGCTGTCCCTGCTCCAGGGAGAAACGGCTGTCAGAGGACCACAGGCCACAGCCAGGCCCGGCTCCCGTCAGCTCTCGCTCGGCTCGGCCCACAATGCCGCTGGCCCGGGCCTCACGCTCTGCACCTGGCTGTTAAAAAACGTGCTCCAGCACCCTAAAAACCAGGAGAGCCACCTCCTGGACACCCTGGGGCTCAGAGCTCTGCAGGAACATCTCAGCTCCCAGCAAACGCGGCGCCAAAGCCAGCCACTCGGAGTCCTTCTCCTCCCCCAGCACACAGGCCAAGCCCCAGGTCCCTGCCGGCCACCTTCCAGCCCGAGACCCCTTCTGTCCCGGCGAGTGGAACTGGGACAGGCGGCGCTCTGTCTTCGCAGACCAAACAGTGAAAAGCTCACAGTGGAGGAGGAAGAAAGCCCCACCGAGCGGGACTCGGCCATCTGCAGGAAGGAGAACGCGGAGGCCAGCACTTACAGCTGAATGACCCGTGTCTTGAGGAAGCTAGCTTTCCTTGGTAAAGAAACCATGCCAGATAACAAACAAACAAATACCTAAGGTCAGAAGATGACGAGTGCCCGGGAAGTGTGCAGGAGGCTTTCGTCACTGCTATTCACAAGACAGCAGCTTGGAAACAGCAAGAAGCAATGCGCTTACTCTATTTAATACAACAGCAGTTATGCCAGTCTTCTACTTCCTGTTACTCAGACTTCATCTTCTCCCTCAGGAGGGAGGCTTCTCCCGTTCAGACTTGCTACAGAATCCTGTGTTAAGTTTGGTCTCTGGCCCCCTCCATCCACTTAAGTCCTCAGGCACTGACAGTGACGGCTGGAGTTGTCGCCGAGTCCAGCTGGATGTGACTGTGCCTTAATGGGTTGGCAGAATGTAGCCAAGAACGGATGGTCCTGTTTGTTTTAAACAGTGTAATTGCAACATGACAAGGACCGAACATTATCCTAGTTTCATGTTTAATTTAAATCAAATGTATTCTGAAAAAAGGAAAAAGAATTTGTAGAGTATTACAAATTTTCAAAATTTAATAGACATCAATTCTCATATTCATCTCATATTCATCAACAACTAAAACAAGATAAATACAAAGAAAACCACAGCAAATTTTGAAACACAGAGACATTTTTCAAGTAATCAGGGGGAAAAAGAACATTATTTTCAAAGCAGCAATACTTTCCCTGTAGTCAATTTCTTAGCAGTGACTGCTCAAAACCAATAGAATGGCACTTTTAAACTGCTGGAAGAAAACAAATGAAAACTTAAAACTATATTCAAAATAACCTTCAAAAGTGAATGTATATTTTTTTCTTTCCCTTCTTTCCTATCCTCCACCCCCCTCCCCCACTCTTCCCCTTCCTCTTTGAAACTTTGCTTCCTATTTCACATCATCTATTATACAGAAGGGAGGGAAGGGGCACTAAGATATATCATGCACAGGTACGAATTCCCAATGATGAATGTGATCATAATCTGTACCTAAAATGTACCAATAAAGTTACTTTTTAAAAGTGAATGTATAATAAAAGCATTTCCAGATAAAGTGAGATGCTTTCCTTATGAGTCTGAGCCACTAAAAAAGTGCCCACTGCCAAACAACTGCTGTCAGTGACAACTGAAGAAATGTAATATAAATTTCCAAAGCCCCTTCTACTCCACTGCATGTGAAACTATAAACCGTATTTGCATAAATTGGGGTTACTTTGAGTCCTGAGTGTTCAAATCTATAGCTATTCTTCAATACATAAGAATCTCACTATTCAGCTTTCTCTCCTTCCCTTTGCCTGTTGTAGGTCTAAAGAAATTACCAATAATAAGGGACAAATATCACTCTAATGACCATATTTTGACTTGTGCAATGGATTGAGTGATAAAATTAATATTAGAATGGGATTTGTTTTCTCTTCTAAGAGATCTCAGGCCTTATAAAACTCAGTGCTCTGTTCTTCATCAAAAAGTGTTAAGAACATTTATGGTCTGTACATCACTAGATACTTTCTCTTTTCATTTAAGAAAGAAATCTGTAATGAACCCAAGTATCCCAATCCACACTGTATGCTAGAGGTCTCAAAATCAGAACTCTTCATATTGGGTTACACATAAGTGAGTGTTATCACCGCAACCCGATTGCAAGTGAGTCGCCCCCATTCTGGGGTGAGTTCACCCGAGTTTCCTTTGTGCTGCACATGGATACTCTGCATGGTGGCTACAAAACTTCCTTCGCAGAAAGAGGAATGGAGGGCACGTACTTTATTGAAAGAAAGCAGGGCACAATTCCTTGCATCTGCTTAAGAGAAGGAAAAAAGAAATGTTTACCCCATAATCTCAAGCCAGTCAGGGATTCCAGAATAAATTATGTCTGCCATCCAGGACAGAGACAGATCAACTCACAAGTCTCATAAAATGGAAATTAACATGTGCTATAGTCAAGAGTAAGTTTAAAAAAAATACTGTCTAAATATTTCAGATGAAAAACCCTGGAAAAGCTTTGCTGATCTGGCTAAAGTGCACGCTCTATCCAATTTGTATTTTGCATTTCCACCTTTGGCCATTGCTACATAAACTGCCAGTGTTATTAATATATCTTAGTCTGTTACTTCTGGGCTTTACTAAATATGGGAAGACCAGAGAAACAAGTCCTTAAAAGAAGCTGCTAGGGGATGAACAGTTTTGTCTTTGCCTTTCTCCAGCTTACTGTGCTTCAGGCTTTCACAGAGGAGTGTGTGCCAAGAGCTCGCTTCACTGAATGCTTAAAAAGGGAGCTATAGGCCAACATGTACTTTCTTACACTTAGGAAAAACTTACCCCAGTACAGTGCCCCATAGTATGCGGTGATGTTCAACTGAAATTTTCAGTGTTTAACTGTGACTGTGATTTTTCTTTCTAAGCCATGTCATGCAATTATTGCACAACAACATTCTAGTTACTTGGGTTTATTCCTCACATGAGTGTATTTCATGTCCAAAAGCTGAAGCTGGAAGTAACATGTGTAGATGGATTCAGAAGTTTTCTATCTATCACCTTCACATAATGACTAAAATTTAATCTGTGGACCCAGAAGTTATTTGTACCCCATGTCTCAGAAAGGCATGGGATGCTGGGGACGGGGCTCCTGTTCTCAGTGCTGGAAAAAAACAGAAGTTCCACCTCTCAGCACTACCCCATTGTGGGTCAAGATTCCAACACAGGAGATTTGGTGGACATATTCAAGCACAGCACACAGCTTGAGTCTTCCTGATTCAACCAAATAAGCTTGTTAGTTTCAATCATTTTTTTAAGATTGCTGATCTGCATGAGAAATTAAAATCTTACAATAAACTCCCACTCCTTGAACTCAGTTGAGAACTGACTGCTCACCCACTTGAACAGTCGGTTTTGATGAAATATTTCTCCCATATAGAAAAAATTTTGATGTTTTCTGCGAGAGAGGTGTTGGGGCACTGTAGGTAGTAAGACAGATGATATTTCTGTGTTGAATGTCAAATTAACTTTGACATGTGATGCACAATTTTGAAAATTATGCCATCCTTCTCTCATCCTCCATGTACTATCTCCCAGTTTTAAATATCCCATATCATTTTTGTAACTTTAATACTAAAGTCAGAATTTTCTGCTTTCTTTCATCATCTGCTATTACAAGTAAATGATTCACCAGAAAGTCTGACTTCATCATCTCTCAAGTTCCATATTTCTAAGACATTTATTTCATTTCAGTCAGTTTGAAAGCTCTATATTGTTCCCCTTTGAAGATTAGATCTCAAGGCTGATTCACCTCCATCTAATCTTTTCTTCCTGCTCTAATCTTTCTGTTATTAAAGGTCACTGATCCTCATCATTTAGTCTCTTGTTTCCAAACACTTTCTATGTTATTTTCCTAAATTGGTCATCTTTTGTCTTCTCTTGCCTATTTGGCCTAATCTCAGGCTCACACATATCAGTGCTGTACTTCATCTTAGCAACTTTGAATCTGTATACTTACCAACCTTCCACTAAACTTAAAAATATGTTCATAAACTTTGATAACTCTCACTCTCAGTTCTTTTCCCCAGAAGGCACAATGTTACTGATGGCCCATGATAGTGCTTTTTAGGTTATTCAGAATTCCTTTAATTTTCACTTCAATTTCAAAAATCCTTTAGGGCCGGGGATTTAGCTCAGTGGTTCCGCCACCTGCCTTGCAAGCACAAGGACCCAAATTTGATCCCCGGTCCCCCCCAAAAATCCTTTAATGTGTTCCTTGTTGAATCACAAGTCTCCAGAGATCATAAGACTTTTTGTTTCTTCCTCTGCATTCTCCCAGTTCCACTCTAGCCTCTTGTAGGCCCAGCGGAAGCTGTTTGGATTTAATGTCTATGGTCCTTCACTAACAAAGCGAGACTTCGCGGTAGAATACCCTTATGATACCCTTCTTTATTTCTGCCTCTCTTCTCCACATGCCAGAAATTGGAATTGGGGATGTGGGTAAGGAGAAGAGCAAGACACATGCTTGCTTGTTTGAAAGCTTCCTCAGTAAAGCAGGCGCCTTCCATGCACTGCTCAGAACTACAACTTCCACACATATCAGGATGGTTTTTCAGACAGCTAATTACTGCACCTTTGTCAGAGAGCAGCCCTCAGATTTTTCTGGAGAGGATCGAAAGCCACATGTGCCTGCATGTTGTTAGTCCCCAGTGACAGACCTTGACCAATAACAGGTGTGGGCATGTACAAAGTATTATTACAATAGAAGGTGAATGTTAAATTGATTTATTACAGTAAAAGACACATTGCCGTGAATCCCTCTCAAAACACCTCCCTCAGGTTGTGGGGAGAAAGGAACCTTTCTCCACTGTTGGAGTATAGACTGGTGCAACCACTGTGGAAATCAGCATGGAGATACCTCAAAGAACTAGGATTAGAGGTCCCATTTGACCCAACTATTCCCCTGCTGGGTATCTTCCCCAAAGAATTAAAAGAATCATACCACAGCATGATTATAAGCATGCACACCCATGCGTATAGCAGCGGGTTGTAATAGCTAAAATTTGGAAACAGACCAATTGCCCATCAACTGGAGACTGGATAAAGAAGATGGTTTTTAAAAAATATATAAAATGGAGTACTACTCAGCCATAAAGAATGAGAAGCTGGCAACATTTATAGGTAAATGGATGCACACTGAGGCCATATTCTAAAGTGAAATAAATAGGACACACATGTAAATACCAAATAGTTTCTCTGGTGTGAAAAACTAAAAGTATAAATAAGGATCAAAATGTATAATTGATATTGTGAAATAGGAAGAAAAGGTCTAAAAGAGTAGGGGAAGTGGAAGGGGTAGGGGAAAGGAAAGAAGGGAAAGGAAAAAATATGAGAAAATGGCCTGGGGATTTAGCTCAGTGGTTCTGGCGCCTGCCTTGCAAGCGCAAGGTCCCGAGTTCGATCCCCGGTACCAAAAAAAAAGAAAAAAAAGAAAAAATATGAGAAAAGGAAAAAAAGGGAAACAAAATCTTTATAAATAGGGAAGGGTGGACAGAGTGAAGGGAGGGCTAGGAATGGGGAAAAAATAAGAACCAAGACACATCATGTACAGGTAAAGTACCCAATGATAAATGTAAACGTATTGTATATCTAAAATGTACTTATAAACTTAATGAATTAAAAAAAAAAACCTCCCTCATTTTGAACACACTTATCCCATCATATGTGCCGCTTTCTGAAGCAGTTCTGGAATCTTCTTTCCTGAAGGTTTTTATGAGGTTTGAGGACAAATATGCATGATGCTGCCAAGAGGCATCCAATGGGAAGGCGATCTCACAGAAACACTGCAGAGCATCCTCGTCTACTTACTCACCAGAACTGCTATGTGGCATTTCTGCTTCTTCCCAGCTCTGGACATGGAGGCAGCCATAGCAGTGCAACAACTACAGACACTCAGAAAAGGGAACTTCCAGAACTGCTTCAGAAAGCAGTAAGGACCATGGGATCAGTGTGTTCTAAAGTAAAAGAGAGTATCTTGAGAGAGGTTACATTCACCATACTGTTCAGTCATGCCATATGTATCCCCGTTGTCATCATTCCATCAATGAAATTCATTTACCTGTGTTTTGCACGGATTTCCTGAGTTGCTCATGGGATTAGTCTTTATTTGCCCATTAGGGACGTTTATTTAGCAACATTTCCTCCACTTTCCTGTATCACTTCTGCTGTGACTTTCAATAAATTGCTTACAGGCCTGATTCTGGGGGAGGCAAATAATAACATTAGGAAGTGCTACTGTATAATCCCAGTTCTCATAATTTATCTTATCATCTTTGGCTTTGCTTTATCTTAAAGCACATGTTGTCATGCCTTTCCCGTCATCAAAAATTGCATTATGACTTCTTCAATTTTCTCACCCTTTATTACTTGGAAAAAAATTTACATTATATCTATATTATATTTATATTTTCTACTCATCAAGATCTTTATTTTATTTCTTCATTTTTTACTTGAAAAGCAGCCATCAAGATCTTTCATGGCAACCGTAACCTCTTTCAGTGGCTTGTTCTGCACTCTGTAGAGTGTACTTCTTTTCCTACCTTTAATGCCTTTAATAAATGTAAAACCTCTCTACCTTTTGTGTGTTTTTTATCCAAAAAAGATCTTCCATTTTCTACTTTGAATATTAAAGTCCAAAGACAAAAGAGATGCTAGATGTCCCCCCAAAGCCTGGGGCATTGGTAGGTGGGGCTTTGGGGAGGTGATTGGATCATGATATTCATCAGTGTAATAGTCCACTAATGCATTTATAGCTAAATGTGAGGTTGGGAGGTGAAGCCTGGTTGAAGAAGGTTAGTCACTAGGGGCATGATCTGGAAGGGTCTATTCATTCCCTCCTCCCCTGATTGCTGTCTGTTTCCTGTCTGCCATGCTGTGAGCTGCTTCTCCTCTCCCTCGCACCCAGCTCACTGTTGACTGAAAACTCTACAAACTGTAAGCCCAAATAAACCTTTCTACCTTTAAATTAGGGATGTCAGGTATTTTGTCTTGGTGATGAGAATGTAACTAAGATGATTTGATTTAAAATAATCTCTTAGGGTGGAGACAGGATGGTTCATTGGCACAGGGATTCAGAGTAGGGTAACTATGGCTGACAACAGTTAATTTCACATTTTAAAATAATCAGTAGAGATATTTTGAATGTTTCCAACAAAAGAAATGATACATATCTGTGGAGATATGATGATTACACATTGTATACGTATATTAATGTCACACTGTACCCCATAAATAAGCTGTTATGGTTTGGATCTGGAATGTTCCCCCAAAGAGCTGTGTGATCGGAAGGCAGTTGGATCATGGAGGTGCTATAATCTCATTGGTTTAGTTCACTGATAAGTTTATAGCTAAACCTACTGTAAGGAGGTGGGATCTGTTTGGAAGAGGTGGGTCGCTGGGTACATGACTGAAAAGGATCTCACTTTTTCCCAAGCTCCTCCCTTCTCTCATAGCTTCCTGGCCATGACATAGGCAACTTTCTTCCATGGCAGGCACTTCTGCCATGCCATTTTCTTCATTTGAACCTCTTGCACATGGACAAAAACTTCTGAAACATGAACCAAAATAAACCTCTCCTCCTTTGAGTTGCAGGTGTCATTCATTTTGCTCTAGTGATGAGGAGAGTTGTCAAGATATCATTTTCATAGTGCTGGTTTAACAGGGAGGCAGAATCCAAGAGTTGGGTCAGGAAGTCTTTCACACAGATTTCAGAAGGCTTAGGAGAACAGAGAGTGTGCTGCTGAGAGGGCTGTTCATGAAGCTGCGAGAGTAAAACTGAAAGTGCAGTAGAAACCCCAGAAAGAAGGAGAATCCAAAGACATGAAACACCAGCTGAGGAAGGCTGCAAGCAGTGAGCAAAGCCACTCCAAGAAGGGTCATGAGAGCTCCAAGCAGCCATGCTGTAGGGATGGGCCACTGAAGCCCTTAGGATTTACATTCCACCACCTGCCTTGGGTGTTGGACATGGAACTATAAGATTTATTATTTGCCTTGCTGGATTTTGATCTCGTGTTGGTTCAATTTCTATCTACCTATTTCTAACTTTTGAATGGGAATGTTTACACTGTGCCATTATTTGTTGGAAATGTTTAACTTTCTTTTTTACTTTTGCAGGGGATCACAGCTTAGGGTTTGCCTTGAGTTTCAGAGGAGAGTTTGGACTTCAACATTTCCACAATGCTTTAACTGTTGCAACTTTGTTAACTCTTACAGATGGACTAAAAGTACTTTGCATAATGCCCTCACTTAATTTTTACTCTTTGTGTTCTTAATCATTTTTATTTTTTCTTTCTACCTGAATTAAAGCTACTCTCTCAAAAGTAAAAAAAAAATGTTAAGAGTTCTGCTGTTGAAATGACAACAGGAAGTCCAATTTATAGAAAAAAAGCACAATTGTTTAAAAAATTTAAAGCCACAAGCACTTAATGAATATAGAAAGTGGATAGGAGCATACAATAAATAAATGTTTATTCAAGAAAATCTACTAAACTCCAGTAAGAAAGAAGAAAATTTGAGGTATTTGAATCACAACTTGTTTCCTCACTCTCTCTGCTCAGTATCAACAGAGTTTCTTTCATTCTGGACAGGTTCAGCCAAAGACACAGATTCTCTGTCCCCTTAGGTGTCTGGCAAGGGCTAGGATGCCAGCATTTATCAAACACGCAGATATCTTTTACAAAGACTGAATTCTAGGTGACTGCACAAGAGGTGCAGTCTTATGGTTACTCTTTCTTCACACCCCTCTTGCTTAGTGCAGTTTTGTTTGGCTGGGAAGATTGATGTCTTAATTGCTCTTGCTCCAGCGAATCTCTAGGGTAAAGGTTCCACTCTGGGGAGATGAGCTAAATGGACCAGAGGCTAACACCTCTGCCTGGAACTCTTATTGTAAAGGAGGACTGCATTCATAGGGAAGTCTCCACCATCACCCCATGACTGGGAGACTTTTTGCTCACAAAGAGAGGAAGGTTTTTAGAGTAGAAAGGTCTGAATTTCCCCATCATGGAACTAACTTACGTGAAACAGAGTATGGGGAAATTCAAGCTCCTAGGTACTCTTAAAAACAACAGAAATGTTTGAAGGCAGTAAAAGCAACACAGTAAAAAGGTGAATAGCACTTTTACCAAGTAGGTCAAAGGAAAGAGATGTCAGAGAAAATCACTTCCTGGGTCAGAGCAATCTTCAAACCCCCTCTAAAATGAGGACCAAATTGAATTGCATTAAATGGTGGAACAATATATGCATAAAAGCATTGTAAAAAATAATACAGCAGCCAGTAAGCAATTCAAGAAGACTAATGTCGGAGTATGGTCAAGGAAAGAAAACAGTCAAAGGTTACCCTGCTAAAGCCACTCCCACCCTGGTAAATGTTGCCATGCTCAAGTTTAGATTCTCTGAAAAACAGCATCAAAACTCCCCAGTAAACAGTAACACCAGCAGCTAAATAAACAGGCAAACAACAAGTACCACAGAGTGGCTGAGATTGATATTCACAGTTGTCATAGTAAATTATCTAACTGTTCAGTTTTTTTTTAAAGTGAGATATCCCAAGAAATAGGAATGGCTGGCGCATACACAAGTTAATAAGAATGACAAGAAAATCAGGTGCTAAAAATTTCCTTTCAGGGTTCCAGATGTTGACCATAGCAGACAGACTTTAAAGCAGCTATGATAAATGAGTGCAAAGAACTAAATGGAACCATGCTTAAACAATTATGTGATGACAAGGTTTATCAAAGACAGAATAGCAAAAGAGATATATAAATTGTTGTAAAAGAATCAAATGGAAATTCTGCAGTTGAAACTATTGAGACCAGAATAGTCTGGGAAAATGGTAGAGTGGTAAGCAACAAAAATTCAGCCTCTCTGGGATTTGGAATCCAGACACTAGAAAATAACATGTTGAGCCAAAAAGAAGAAGGAAGAGGAGGAAGAGGAAGAGGAGAAGGAGGAGGAGCAGGAGGAGGAGGAGCAGGAGGAGGA